GCTGCTGGGGCTTGAGAGCTTCCTGTGTGGCAGAATGGAGATGAGCAGTCTGATAACATTTTGTACTGGGAAACAGGTGGAACAAATACATCGTCAGTCTGAAAGACAGCAATATTGTTTACTTCTGATATGTGCTGCCTGGTCTCCCTTTTGATTCCAGAGTATCAGTCTTGTATGATGAGATGGAAAAGGCTTTAAAACTTCCAAGGATATGATCTAGATCATGAGTCCTGAACATGTTTATCACTGAGGACTGCTGCAAAACTTAACCCCACAGCAGAGCGAGTCACTTCCCAAACTTTTCTGGATTGCTCATTCTGTGAGCGATGTCCTTACATCAGCAATCCATCGTCACTTGCGATCCACTTGCATGGATTATTCAATCCATGAATAGTCTGTATTTTCCTTCAAGTGTCCATCAGACTGAAGCTTAGGGGGTTTATTTCTCACACAGATTGGTGCATTCAATTAAGCAGTCACTGCCTTGGTCAGTGTCTTGTTCTAACAAGCTTTTCAAAAAAGTAGCAAACCAGATTATTATTTAGCTGCTAAACCATACAACAACTTTAATTAAACCCACCTGTTTCCTTAATAGCACTTCTGAGCTGAACAAGTTCTTGGAAATCACAAGGATGCTCATCCCATGTTAGGATTGAAGGTTAGTGACATACACTTTACCTTTCCTGCTAAATACCCCAAAAAGTGACGAGTTGCAATTAATTATTTTGAACCAGCTGAAAGGCAAGGAATACCAAACCTATTAAATGTGTAAAATTGTGCTGTACTCTGACACTATGCACTGGAATGTTAGCTGAAGTTGTTTCATGTTACTTTCTGATTTTATTATTTGATTCCCAGTTAATTTAGCAGCTGGAAGTATTTTACTCTGTCAGTCTGAGTGGTTAAATAACTGTTACTGGTATCTTTCATGATGTGCTGGTCTTTCATTTTAATTGTCACTTCTTTTTAATAGCCTACCTCATTTTTTTTTTTCTTATTACCATTTATACACTCCATTTAGCTCACTCCATTTTAATTAAAGTTCTTGGTGTTCATTACTGTAAATAGTATTAAGTGGCTTTCTGTTGCTGAACCACATGAAGTTATTTTTTTGTTTTTTCCTCTTTAACAATTGATTCCAGGAATTTTGAGAACAATAACACATCCTTTACAGAGGATGAGTTGTCTGGAAAAAAGCTTCAAATTTTATTGATTCCTAGTCTGTGACATTGTTTCCTTTCCTTACCTCTTTTCCTGCTTTAGAATGGAACTCGCATGGTTTGAGTTCCTTGGATTTTTAAACTTTTTTTTAGTCCTCCATCAGGGGAGGAGTAACTTTTCCCCCCCTCATCAATAGCTGTGCCTTCTCTATAGATCTGTTAATGTAACATCTCCCCAGAGGCACTTGCTCCCTGGAGTGTATTTGTAGCAGTGCCTGCCTGAAGCCAACTCATCCTTTGGATTTTTTTTCTTTAAACCATGGAGGGATTTCCTAACTTCTGGGGTGACTTCTCACTGCCAGACTACCCTGTCATACTGTAAGTAGAGTCACCTGCTCTGAAGGTCACCTAAGGTAAGACTGTGGGGGTGTTGACTAGAAAAATTATTGCTTAAGCTTCACATTTAAAGTTTTTCTTCCATTTTAACTCTACTGTTTGGCCACAGTGGATAATGTACTTTTCCCAAGGATGTGCCAAAAGTGAATGAGTTTTCTGTCCTACCTCATTCTAACAGTGTACAAAGCACAGCTGGAATGGGGCAGGATTATTAAAGTTTGATTCAGACCCTTCTCCCTCCAGCTGTGGCAGTGGGTTAATGTTAAACTGCTTTGGGAGTATGAAATCCTCCAGAAATCTCATATCCAAAATCCAGTTTCAAAAGTAGTAGCACTTGAATTGCTGGACCCCAATGGCACAGGTCAACTTTGTGTGAGTTCACACAAAGGCTTAATTAGGATTCCTGGAATTTTCCATCCCTTCCTCCATTTCCTTTAAAGGAATTTTATTTGACAATGGAAGAGTTTTTCTGGAGAAGGGGGCTACTGAGCCTGAGTCATCTTTACAGCTGACAAACGTGTCCATTTCAATAAGTCACTACTCATGGCTTAAACATGGTTCACTCCCATTGTGTAAATGCACAAGCAGGGCTGTGGTTTGGCATCTGGGACCTGCAGTTGGTGTAACATTTCAGAATCATGACATTCACTTTGTACATGGGATTGTTTGGGCAGCTGAGCAACAGCACCTTCCCCGTGAGCACTGAAGGCTGCTCTTGTTTGCTCTGAAAGACTTGTACAACTGGACACTTCACCAGAATAAAAGTTTTAATTTACATTTTCTTTCTATGTCTGCTTTCTTTGGTGTTTCCTGTGTAGGAAGGCATTCAGCCTTCCATGATGTCAGTTTTCAAAAGACAGATGTTAATGATTCCAGCTATTGTGTAGGATTATTGGGTTTTTTACTCATTACAAAAGTCTTAGTGGATTATGACAATCCTCCATGAATTAAGTAGATGTATAGAGAAAGAGGTGTTGCTCTGTGACAAGCTGTGTCACAGATTTCACTATCACTTCAACAAGCGTCTGAAACAGTTTTTGTTGCTGAATTTTTAAGGCTGTTGCCATAGGAATTGTCTTCAGACTGGTAAATTATTTCAGTGCTTGCCTTCCCCATGGGCTCCTTAACTGGAAATGCTGGCAGATAGTGTCTTTCCTGATTCATGAAGTGCAAGCCTGTGACTTACAAAGAAAATTTGAGTTTCTGTGCAGCTCTTTTATTGTGTAGAAAGGTGTTTCTTTTGAGTTTTGCCTTCCCTCACTTCCTTTGTCTGTGACTACTTGGCCACAGTGACATTGGCCCCACTTCAGAGGGAGAACATAAGCAGGCTTTGAAACGGGTGAGTGGGAGTTTGTAATGCTGATTATTAATGACTTTTAATGAAATGCAAGACTGAACCAAGAAAGGAGAGGACAAAATGTCCCTTGTCATCTAAGGCTTACCTAGACCTCAGCTCCTTTTGGCTGGTTTACCTTTTGGAGAACTTACCTTGTCTTCGAGGAGCTGAGGAAAATCATGCTTCCTTTGCTCCTTTTTTCTTATTAAATATTCTCTCACTTGTTGCTGATTAAAGACTTCAGGAGAGGTGAGGTTGTCCAGTGGAAAATTTTCCTCCTTGATAGCCCTGGCAGCTCCACAGCAGCAGTTTTGGTGCAAGTGCTGAGCTGCTTGAGCTGGCTTGGCTCCAAATGGCTTCAATAGGAACCCTTATTGGGATAATTGTGCCAGTCCAAAAGGCATTTGAAACACATGATCTGCACCTTTCCTGCAGACATGGGATGGGCTTTGGCAGCCTCCAATGGAGCTTGCCAGAAGTTTTCTTGCAGAGCTGGCAGGAGAAAATGTTGACTCTGCAAAAAGCTCTTGGAGGGGGAGGAAGGGAAGGAAAAGGAGCCATTTCCCAGTTTTGTCTAAGTACTGTCAACCTTTCTGTGTAAACTTACTGGAGGGAAGGTTCTACAATGGTAGCATCCTTCTTTTTTGACTTTTTTTGGGCATTGTGTGGCCAGAGTGGTTTTCCTCTTGCTGGAAAGGTCTTTCTGAGCCTCAAAATTGCTGGAGTGGCAAAGAACCAGGAGGACTCCTAAGGACAGACATGGAGAGCTCCTGGAACCAGGATGGGTTTTATCTCCCAGTAGCTGCTGCATTGTTTGCTGCGATCTGCTGTTTATATTGCTCCAAACATGCCATGGAACAGGAAAACTGTGGTTTGCTGCTGTGGCACGAACCAAAACAGCCTCCGGAGTCATCGTGTGTGCGTAAGGCGGGGAGTGGAGAAGGTGACGTGATAAATTGCTGGAAAAAACACCGTGTGTGGGAATGAGAAGGACATGACACGACAGTGACGGAGAGGGACTAAGGAGTGGCGTGGGAGCGTTTTCCAGGAGTGTTTCTCCAGGATTGCTGCCTCCTGGGGAGGGGTGAGATGGGTCACACAATCAACTTGCAGGCAACAGCCTACAGCTGGTTTTTTTTCCCCACTGGTCATGCATCTTCCTTAAAAACTTTTCCACTCCATCAGCTGGTGAGAGTATTAAGAGGAAGGAGGAACTACTGGAATGTTTTTTTGAGCTTTGCAGCATTGGAGACTGATTTATTTTCTTTTATTTTTTTTTTCCCCTTCAGGTTTGTAGTCCAGTGATTAAAGTCTCTGGCAGAATTTAGCTTTTTGAACTACTGAGTTTATATCCCTTGTGTACAGGGAAAAGCCTGAAAAAAAGTTAAACCCCTAATTTCTTCTTTATTAAAAAAAAAAAAAAAAAGTTTTAGTAAGGTGCAGAGGGATTTTATCCACAATTCCCTTATGGAATAGAAAACTTAATTTTTTTCAAACAACCTCTCTTTAAATGGATTTTCATTTGCTAGGATGTAAACACTTTTCTGTGAGCATTTTGCATTCTTCCCTTTTGCTGGGTTTTCCTCTGGCTTGGGTGAATGATGTAAGAACACGCCCCCATGGTGTTATTTTTGTGAAGTGCTGCTGCAAGGGTGTTTTTCGGAGTTTCCTGTAGGAACCAAACACATTTTCTTCTGGAGAGAAAAACCTTCCCCAGGGATTCCCGATGGGAGGGATGTGTTGGCTGGGAGCGCCACCGCTGGGCTGGCAACTGTTGCTCCCTCTCTGCCTTTTAGACCCACTTTGTGCATTTTCCCTCTCTGCTTTGAACTTCGGGTGCATTTGGCTTTACTTATTTCTAAGTATTACATGGACTTCTGGAGCTGCAGGAGAGTGAACAGAAGTGAAGTTGGAAATGACCAAAAGCAGCTGTGAATGAAAATAGCAGAAGTATTCTCTATGGGTTTTACCAAACCCTCAGAGAAAGCTTTTTACCACACTTTAGTGTGTCACCTCCTGGGCTTGGGAACTCTTTCAGAGGGCTGAAGTGCTGGCAGGACTCACTGACTAAGCAAAAAGGGCTCTGTAAGACCTTGAATCAGTACTTTAAACTTGTTCTAAGACATTTTGATCTTTTCTGCACACTTGAAACTTATTTTAACTCTCCCTTACTTACCCCTGTGATTACCAGTTTAACTGCGTTATTTTAAAATCTGGGTTATTAATTAAAAGCGATTCCTCCTTGGAGCTTAGGTGTTCATCAATTTGTGATTGCACTTGAATAGAAAATTTTTGTACGCTTTGTTACCACCAAGAGCCAAAGCACTACTGTGCAGTCCTGAATATCCCGGCCAGGAGCAAAGAACTGGTGATGGGGACAAAAATCTCTGGAGCTGTGCAAGAGTCCAACTGCCCAGCGCTGGCTTTTATCACATGCTGGGACAAGGATCACGTGGAGAGGCGGGGAGCCAGCCCTGCAGAGCCCAGGTGGCATCACCGTGCTGGAGGTGGGATCTGGGCAGTTTCTGCCCCCATGGCATCTGTGACCCAGCAGCAGATCCAGAAGGTAAGGAGCTGCTCTGCAGGGAGGGAGCGTGTCCAGAGTGCAGGCAGGTGACACAGATAGTTACTGCTAGTTAACCTGGCAGCAGGTCTAGCAAAGATCTGCTTTACAAACACTTCATATTCTCCTCAGCTTCTTCTATTATGTTGATTTTAGTGTGTGAGTGTCATGGCTACAAACTCTTCCTGGGGGTAGCTTGTCCCACAAAGCTCTTGGAGGGATTTCTCCTGTGCCCCTTCTGTCTGTATTGCTCAGCTCTCATCCCTGAACTCGAAATCCTCCAGGCAAAGGATAATCTCCAGGGTATTCTATATAAAGAAACTGAGTTCACTGCCAGGAGAATTCACTTTGTAAATAATTGTGTAGTGAACTATGAGAAATCACCCAGGTATTTTTTTTTCCTCAAAGAGAACAAAGCTTTCCAGCTTGTAAAGGAATCTAATTCTGATTTGGCACACAGGCATGACTGCCCAGTTTGTGTTAGTGGGCTTGGTAGTAGAATAGCTGCTGGTTACAGGCATTAGATAAGATATCCTTGAACCACAAAAGGCTCTAGTGACAAGATCTTCTCTGTTTTGGGTAGACTGAGGGATTGAAATAGATTGTTATTAACTGTTTGGAATTTCAGCATCTTAATCTTTTACAATAGAAGCCCCTCCTGAAACTAAAAATTAAGAATATGCTGCCTGGCTGCAGAGCTGGAGCTGGGATGCTGTTCACGCTATAAAGGGCCAGAACAGTTTCCTCTTGCTTTGTGCTGCTTCTCCCAAGGACTCTGGGGAAGAGCAATCACCCTGTCTCTTCCAGTTCCACGAGGATGGCTTCCTCGTCCTGGAGCAGTTTTTCAGTGCAGAGGAGTGTGACAGCATGAGGAGCCAGATCCAGAGAATCGTGGCGGAGATGGAAGTGCCGCCGCACTGCCGCACCGCCTTCTCCACCAGGCAGGAGGAGCAGGTCCAGGAGCAGGTACCGAGGAGGGCAGGGCAGCCCTGTTGGAGAGCTGGGAAGAGGAAGGGAAAAGGCAAATTGCTGATCAGGGTTCACTCTGCGGGAACATGACCCTTCCTTCTAGCCGGGAGAGGAATTTGCTCTCCAGCTTTTTGCAAATGTTTGCTGGGGTCTTATCAAGAGTCTTATCAATGTGTGGCTCTGCTGTGCTTTCAACACCTGGTAGCCACAAGCAGCTCTCCCAGATCACTTTGTACATGTTCTGCAGACAGAAAACTGGTTATTTTCCAGGCAGCTAGCAAAAAAAAAAAAAGGGTAACCTCTATGTGAGAGGTTCTTGTAAAGCCCTGATCAGCACAAAGACATGTAGTGTTGTGGAAAGCCTTTTTGAGTGATTTTTCACTGTGTTTTGCTTATGCTGCGGCTTGGTGGGGAAAAGATGCAGGTGAGTGTTAATGTGTTGATTGAAAGTTAATTTATGTTTTTACAAGGATGCTGTCTTTATTGGGCTCTTATCCCTGCAGGGTAGCTCGGATTATTTCATAACCAGTGGAGACAAGATTAGATTCTTTTTTGAGAAAGGTGTTTTGGATGAGAAAGGTAAGCCCTGCAATGAGTTAGCTACACAGAGGGAATGGGGAAAAGCTGAGTGAGGGATTGGGGGCCAGTTTCCAGCTCAATTAATGATTCCTGCTTTTCAGACAATGTTAGATTATGGTTTTGTTTTGTAGGTAACTTTCTAATTCCAAAGGAGAAGTCTGTCAGCAAGATTGGCCATGGTATGTTTAAAGTATGGGGTTTGGAGAGGGATGGACAAAAGAGATCTGGCTTTCAGACATGAGGATTTCTCCAGACCTGCTCACTGTACATAACTGTCTCTGCAATTCTCTCCATGCTGCCCCTCACTCTCTGCTCTCAGAGGACTGGATCTTCTGTTCCAATCCTTTCCAAAAACCCCTTCTCAGAGGTTTTTCAGTGATGAATAGCTCAGAGTCACTGACATGCGAAAATTTGGACTTCAGCCCTTGGCTCTTTTATGTAACAGATTTGCTCTAAAAATTTACCACCTGAGACTGGTGACATTCAGTACAGACCAAACTCTCTCCTATGTCCTATGCCATGCTGGGTTGCTGATACTGAAGCTGTCCTTCCTTCTGTGGTGTCACCAACACCTTTTCTTTACCCATACTAGTCTGTTTGACCTATTTCTTCTCTCCCAGTTCCTGGACTTGCATTTTGATCCCTTTTGTTTTCCAACAATACATGGAAAATGAGAGCAGGATTCCCTGTGCCTGCAAATGTGAACTTTGTTCAGACTAAATTTCACTACAGCTGGAAATTCAGTACTGAGAGTTCTCGTTCTTTGGTTTTCTCAGAAAAACACTCTCCTCTTCCCAGGCCCACTGCCATTCTGTCACACTTCAGCTTTTCCTCAAGGGAAGTGAAAACAACTGTAGATTCCTGCTGACCCAGCAATTTAACAATGCAAAAGCCTTCTCTAGTCTTAATTTCTGTAATTACTAATTTTGGTCAAGTCTCATCCCTTGCCTGAGAGCAGCTCCTGCTGGATTTGAGCATCTGTCCTTGTGGCAGATCTGATCAGGATGAGCTGGAGGCACAACTCTGAGTCTTTGCTTTGTGCATTTGTCAGAGCTGTGCTGTAGCAAGAGCCTACACACAAACACACCCTCTGACCTGCTGGTTGGGGCTCTCTGAAGGACACCAAAGATGAGCTCTAGCTCCTTTTTGCAGTACTTCACTTTTCTAGTAGGTCTTAAGAGGTGTGTTTTTAAAGGATGAATTCACCCATATGCCTCAGGGTCATGTGTTGTCACTTGTGTAATATAATACTGAATCATACAATATTCCATTCTGTTCACTCTGTTATACACTGGCTTTTATATTTGTGCAGTTTGTGGCCAGGGAATGATTATATTTAGAATCTTTAATGATGACTGTACAACCTGTATGTGTCTTATCACCTTAGGTGTGATAAGTCACATTTATCCATCTTGGGAGGGATGAAAGTTTCTGGCTGCAATTTATCCTGCTTGGCTGTGGTGTCTGCAGCTCATCACTGAGAGTTGTTCCCTTCTCTTTCTGAAATCTTCTTTCCCCTTAGCTCTACACGCTTACGACCCTGTCTTCAAGCAAATCACCCACTCCCCCAAGGTGCAGGTGAGCTGTTATTGCTTCCTAGAATGGTCTTGGGGAAAAAAAATGCAGAGTAGTTAATTTAATTTTCTACACTCCCAAGGAAGTAATTTTGTCAGTGAAAGGAAATGTAAATATCTTCAAAGAATGATGCTAAATAGTGTGCAGAAAACATAAATCTTGGAAAATTTTCTGGCAGGAACTGGGAAGAAAACTAGGCCTTGAGAGACCAGTAGTTGTGCAGAGCATGTATATCTTCAAGGTATAGTAACTCAAGTTGTCTTGTCATTCAAGAAATAAGACCCTGTTAAGTGGGAAGCTGTGAAATTCTTCACACATCACTTTTTTTTTTTTGTTGCAGCAACCTCGTATTGGTGGTGAAGGTGAGATTTGTGTTATCTCTATATCACACTGCAGGAAATACTCCTTTAGGAAAGGAATAGTACCAGGGAAAAGGCTCAGAATCAGACTTAAACCTGTGAGTTTGCTGGTTCAAACCTTCTTAAAATAATCTTTGAAAGCCACATTTTTTCAGAAAAGTTTCTATGTCATATGCAGCTTGAACAAAGAGCTGCTTTTATGTTTGCAGCAGGCTAAAAGGTGGTATTTTTATGTAATATTTAATGTATGTGATAGGTGGGTGGGCAGGGGAGGGCTCTGAGTCGGGGAGATGCAACCCTGAAGTCCTCCTAGAGGATCTGAATCCCATTAAAGACCACAATGACAGTCTCTTCTTGCAGTGACACCACACCAAGATGCCAGTTTCCTGCACACGGAGCCCCTGGGCAGGATCCTGGGGTTCTGGATTGCCCTGGAAGATGCCACACAGGAGAATGGCTGCTTGTGGTTCATCCCTGGCTCTCACACCAGTAAGAGCATGTGTGTGACCACTGCTGGTCACCAGCAGAATTCTGCTTTTCCCCACCTCTAGAGCACACAGTGCAGCTTTAAAACTTCTGGTCGCCTAAAGATTCACTCAGTGAGTGTAATCATAATGCTCTTCAGGTTTTAAGCTACTCATTCTTCAAATCCTGGAGCCAACTGTACACATATCATGGTTTATGCTCCTATAGAAAGCACAAATGGATCAAATGTTGATTTTGTGTAAGTGTGTGACTATTTGTGTTCCTGAGGGTCTGTTGCAAAGCACAGAAGGGGCCAAAAAGGCAAACAAATGGCAGCTGTTTTATCTGTTTCTGCCACAGCTGGGAAATCCTAAATCTCTACTTAATGAAAAAGACCCCACCCAAATTACTAAGGGAAATGTAAATATAGTAATAATAAAGTTCCTATCATTACCAAGAGAAATCACTGATAGTGTTCCTTTGCTGTACAGAATGTAGCCAGGTGTTTAATTTTTATGTGTTTGCTTCTTCTGTGGATTTGCAGATGGGATTAACAGGAGGATGGTCCGTGCACCTTCAGGTGCCTCAACGTGTGTAGAGTTTGTAGGCTCAGAGCCAGCCTACGATGACAAGCAGTTCATACCTCTGCCCATAAGAAAAGGTACGAACAGCTCAAGAAAACACAAGGGAGTTAAAATCATATTTTAACCCTGCACCTTCCCTCCCACTGGAAAGCCAGAGCTCATCTTTTGGAAAAGAGCAGTCCAGGTGATTCTTTCCCACAGGTGGACTCATCCTCATCCATGGCGAGGTTGTCCATAAGAGTGAACTCAACAGCTCGGAGTCCTCTCGCCACGTGTTCACCTTCCATGTGATGGAAGCCAAAGGCACCACCTGGAGCAAAGAGAACTGGTAAGGTTGTGATCCTCACCAGTGGCTGAGGAAATTGAAGCCTTTCCAATGCAATAGTTGGGATAACTGTTGGGGGTCTTGCCTGTACAGTTTGTTGGTAGTGCCTCAGCTGGCATTGATTTCATACCTGCAGATCTGGAATAGCCTCTGAAATTTTGCTTTCTCCTCTTCTTTACTCCCTAGGCTTCAGCCAACCCCTGAGCTGCCTTTTCCATCGCTCTACACTTGAAGTCAGTGGCTGGCTTGTGGAGTCAATAGCTGATCAATATTCCTTTCTGATTGTTCATTCACAATCTCTTTAAAAGCAACCTTCACTAGATCAGCTCTCAATGTTAATTTATCCTTCTCCTCAAAACCAGGACTATTATAACAGCCCAAAACCTGCAGTAGACAGAAGCTTCTACTGCAGCAGGAGCCGTGCCAGTATGAGAGTAGTCTCCCAGTCCTTTTAGTAAGCAAACACCTTCAGTCTTGAAAACAAACCAGTGAACACCATTGCACCTTGACTGAGACCACTTACCAAGTATTTCTCCTTGCAGATACTCAGTGTTTTCCTGTGTTTAAGAGCTTAAATGCATTTCTTGGCTGGTTGACTCCAGCAATGCAGGTAAACATCTTGTGGGGAGATGTTTGATTTTCACCCCTAGTTTTCTGTGTTATTGTTGGAATAACAGTGATATAAAACAATCTTCTTGTGGGTGAAATGAAGCAAGAGGTCTGCTTTTTATAGTCAATCTTCTAAATACTCCTGGCAGACAGTAGCTGTTTTATCTCTTAGTGTGATTAAAAATACAACAATTTTTAAAGATTCATGTTGAAATGATGGAAACAAAGAACTTCAATCAAACTTTTTACACTTAAATAAAAAGATAGAAATTATTCTTTTCATCTCCATCATCTTTTCTTTGAGGAAGACACAATGTGACCTTCTTCCAACAGGTGGGGACAGTGCTGAATTGTCTGGTGAGCAGCTGGAACTCTCAATATGTACAAGAATAATTTCTATCCCCAAAACCTCACCAAACCCAAACCAGCTTATAGCAAGGAATGTTTGGAAATGCAAGCTACATCTCAGGAAAGCTCCAGTCTGTATCCTGAACTGAACAGAAGCTGTGTAGGTGTGATTTCACCAGCACTGGTACAGTGGCAACCCTGAGATAGGAGCCCAGTGTCACCAATACAGGAATTATATCAGAGTAACCCTAAGGCTGCTGAGGGCTGTGGTAGAGTGGACCCAAATCTTACTGACTCATCCCTTTCAAAAGTAAATTGGGGAGATGGGTCATGGCAACAGCAGGAACATTGAATGCAAAGTTTCTGAATTCAAAAATGACCTTTCCTACAGTTTGTTTGAAAGCTGGAAGCAGGGTGGAAGGAAAGCAAATTTCTCTGGTGCAATTTATGACATCAGTGGTGAAGGCTGTGGCTTGTGACAGAAACAACTCAAGTTTTTTTTTAGAATTTTGCTGAGAAAGGATAATTTGTCCTGTACACTACCAGCACCAAAACCATCTACTTCAAGTGCATAAATAAAATAAAAAAACCTGGATTGATTGGCAGGATTTCCTGTTAAATATGAAGAAAACAGCCCAGCAGTTGTTGAGTTTGGCTTCCTACAGAGTGCCTGACAATTTACTGTGTTAGTAACCAGCTGTGGCATCCTCAGGAAAAGCAGCACCAAATCCCAGGAGCCCTTCCCAGGCAGGAGGATGAATTGGGCAATGCTGCTGCTTAGCTATTCCAGTCCTGGCTTGTTGCAGGGACACACAATATTGGATTCTGGAGCCAATTCTGCTGACTCAGGGACTGGTTTCACTCCACCCCTGGTCTTAGGCCCCCTCCCCAGGCATGGCCTCAGAGCTACAGGCCTGCAGGACAGTGTTGGGTAAGGTGCCTTGGACTTCCCCCAGACTGTTCCCAAAAGTGAATTAAAAAAGGGTCAGAAGTGAACTTCATGATGCAAACTAGAAGCCTGGGATGACAATCTCCTGCTTGGACACATCCCTGGAGACAGGAAGGACACTTGGGTTTTGTTCTAATGGACACTGGGCAAATCAGTGAGAAGAGACTGTTGATACAGAAGGGTTTCATAGATAGAAATGAAGTGGGTTTTTTGGCCACAAAATGGTAGATGTAATTTTAATTAAATGGATGGAATTCAGTAGCTTTAGTCAATTTCTTGATAGAAGCATTTTTATACATTATTTGATTAAACATCTGGCTGAAAAAAAATGAAAAGTAGGAAAGTGTAATAGTAGAAAATTGTATTGACTTTGACAGGTGTTCTGCTTTCAGGATTAATGTGTAATTTATTTTAGCTGTGATTTAGCTTAATTCCCCCCTTCCCCCCAGTATTCATTCCAAGTTAATTTGGATGTTAAATCTTGAGAAAGATAAAACATTTTTCTTGCTGAAGCAAACTTCAGGGCTGAAGATTCACTGTTCTTATTTGTATGGTCTGGAACGAGCAGTGTCTGACATCCCCAAACCTTCACCACCCACCCACCCTGGATAACTCAGCTGTGGCAGCTACTGATTTTGGATTTGTGTTTGTGCATCGTGGTGTGGTTTTGGCTCTTGCTGATGAGGACTGGACATAGCTGGACACTTGTACCTGGTTCCTGTGCCCCCACAATTATCAAACATGCTTTACATCGTGCTTATACAGACATGAGAGTTCACACATCAAACACAAGACAAGACTCAGTACAGAAAACAAGGTACAGTACAGAGGTAGCAACATCTGAGAGACTTGCTTGTTTATTTTTTCCCCTCTAATTGACTTACCTCTTCTTCCTCTGCTTCCCTTGTGCACCCAGAAGAAACTTAAATTGCATTATTAAACACAAGTGCTGCTTTTATCGGTTGTGTTTGTTGCTGTTAGAACATAAATCCGTCTATTTTCGACAGGAGTAAGAACAAGACCAAATCAAAACCTGTTTTAAAATAGTCTTTCTCATTTCTGTTCTCAACAGCTTTCTCTGCTGTACCAAAACATCACCTTTGAGCTTTCATTAAAGTGCATTTTCTAGTACCTTTCTCTAGGAAGGGAGAAAACTGTTCCTGGAAGTGCTTCTATGCCATGAGCATGATCTGGAGGTAGAGAGGCAACAGCAGATTATCAATTTGAGTAGTGTAAGCTTCCAAAAGAGAAACCAAACTCACAGATGCCAGAATCCAGGCATAGCTAGAGTTCAGATTCACACTGCTGTCAAAGATCAGAATGAGAGCCACAGCAATGATCTGAGCAAAAATAGCTGTCATTGTCCCTTCAAAGGTCTTCTTTGTTCCTGGCCATTTGATTTCCCCCATTGTACTGCCAAAAACAGAGGCAATGGTGTCTCCTACCCCTACTGCCAACACCCCAGAGTAGGGCACCAGTGCTCCTGCCCCAGACAAGGTGCCTTTAGGAGCACATGATCTGGGAAACAACCACACTGGGAGGGACATGCCGAGGAGGAGATAAATATGAGTCAAGATGAGAGGTCCACTGTCCCTTTCGTCCAAGAAGAGAGAGAGCAAATGCCTCAGGGTTTGTCCAAAAGGTTTGATCCTGAAGTACCGGATGTACTCTAAGAAGATAAACACTGCCAGACACAGCACTGCAGCAACGTAGAGGAGCTGGCGGTCATAAATTAGTCCAGGAACATAAGTAGCTACAACAATGAAGTGGAAATATTTCCTGGTTATAGTCGAGGCCTGGTGTTTTTTAGATTCAGATGATCTCTTAGCATTCTGGTAGAAAACCACCCCACATGCTAAGGCAGCCAAGAAAGTCCAATACACAAGGAGGTAAAGTCTTGTCTGTGTCTGAAACAGAAACTGGAGCAGCCAGAACAAAGGGTTCCTCTGGATCAGTCGGTACAGCCACGGCATGATGACCCCTAAGCCTAACACTGCTGTCATCATGTGGAAAAACATGGAGGAGATCCACGTGCCCGAATCCATGAAAATGAAGAGCACGGTGAAAAAAAGACCAAGAAGAACAACTCCAACAACTGCTACCAGAAGGAAGAAGTCAATGGGATCCCCTTTGCCCTCGATTACATTCAGTGAGCGTTTAATGAGCTGGTTGAGAACAAAACTTATACCTCCGAGAACCAGCAGCGCTTCCCCGGGAGTAAAACATCGAGGCAACAAGTACAGCAAGATCATACTGAGGTAGACGAAAATGAGCAGCACTTCCAGAACCTCTATCACTTCTGAGACAGTCAAGGAATGTTTCATGGTGTAGATAATTACGCTGCCAGCAACACCAGTCAGGATGCAAGTGTTGGTTGGCACAGGTTTGGTGATGCCAACCGCCAAGACGGACAGGAAGAGAGCGAGCAGCATTCCCGTGGAAGCCACCACGATGCCAAAGCGCTCGAAGTAGACGATGCCGGCAGCCCTGCACCTCTCCTTCATCACCACCCCCAGCAGGGGGATGACCATGCTGGCGGGCAGGAGGCCGCTGTTGGCTGCCCCCCGGAACTGGAAGACGGCCCCGCCCTGCTGCAGCAGCCGGTCCCATTTGAACTGGGTGTAGAAGGCCTGGACGGCCAAAGCCACGGCGCACCAGGAGAAGCGGTCCCACACCACCGCGTGCACCGCCAGCACCGCGGTGAACACCAGCAGCGACTCCACCAGCACTGCCCTGTTCGACATGACTCCAGCCCAGCCTGCTCAGGCCTGCACAACTTCACCAGTCTCAGCTGCCCGTTAGGAAGAATTCCCTTCCATGCTACTGCAATTGCTATTAAAAAAAAAAAAAGCAAGCAATTAAAGCAACTACTTGGACAGCTGAAGTGTTTGCACAGCTATTTGGTTCTTAAACTCAAACTCATAGTTAAGTGCTAATTGCTAAAGTCAACACACAGATGAATTAAAAAAAAAAGTGAGGTGAGTAAATCCTGCAGTTCATCTTCTCTAAGTGAAGGCTCACAGCTCACCGACAGCTGCAAACCAAGCTTTGCTTTAAACGTTTGGACTGGAGGGTAAGCAGTTAAGATAATCAGCCACAGGCACATTTACTCTCTTAGGTTAAATCTCATCTTATCTCCCTCAAAGAATTGTGGGCATTGACAACACTGACAGCTGCCCTGCAAACCAAGCTTTGCTTTAAACGTTTGGACTGGAGGGTAAGCAGTTAAAATATTCAGCAACAGCCACATTTACTCTGTTAGGTTAAATCTTATCTCCTTCAAAGAATTGTGGGCATTGACATCATTGTGCAATTCTCACCAGCATTTATTGCTTTCTGGTGACCCTGATTTCTCTATGGATACATCATTTGATAATGGGCCATATGTAAACCTCTACCATTACACTGGCCTCTCTTCTGGGGTCTTTGAAGTTCTCCTGTTCTTTATGTCTATTGGAAATATTATGGTTGATCCAGCTGTGAAAAGGGCTTACTTTATCCCTTCTGGACCACCCTTAAGCTGATTAGCAGCAAAGTCTTACTAAATTCTGCTCCCCCAGTCTCAATGCCAGTATCTACATCAGCTCCCTCATGGAAGACCAGAAGTTTAAGGTTCTCTTTTGGGTTTTCAGCCAGTGTTGAATGGTGACACCAGATTACAAAGCTGACAAAGTAATAGCAATATTACTGAGAAATTATTACAGTTTGTACTGTAAAACTTCCTTAGCGTGTCTGCAGTGTTTAGATATTTATAACCTTGTACTGAAAACTTACTGATGGATTGCTTTTTGGCATCCTTATTCATATAGCCTGAAATACTTGATTGCCAAACACCTTCATTACATGCACTGTTGCTACACAGCTCCTTCAGGCCAAATGTCATTTCTTGTCATTGCAATTAATTTTTAAACAGGAGAAGAATTAATCATACAGTCAATAAACCAGAACTGGTCTGGGCAATATCTACCTCCAACCAATAACAGTTTTTGGGTTGTACTCCCTGCTGTTTCTGAGCACTGGGGAGGGGGAAGCCTAAGGCTTATTTGAGAAGAAGCAGAGTAAATGCCACCTGCCAGCCAAAGACAGAGTCCTCCTACTCAGTCTGGCAACCTTAAGGTTGCACCCCAGCTCCCGTATCGATGGCATTACAGCTTCCCGCCGGGCTGCAAGAGTAGGTAGAAATTCACCCTGCCTGAGGTCTCTGATGGAGCGGCTCTGAATGCTTAGACCTGACAATCTATATTTCACTAATGAGTTATTTCGTTTTCTTGTGCCTGCCGCAATCCCCTCCTCCGCACCTTCTTTCAGGTACTGTGAAGCTCCTCGGCACTGCCGCTCTCATCATCGAACGGGACCCACCGCCCTGCGGATCGAGCCGGACCCAGCGTTTTCTGCCCGTCTCCTGCTCCGCATGCCGGATGCTCAGGGCGGGGAAGCTTCCCACTGACGTGCTGCCAAACATCCGGGCTGCAGCCCCTGCTTGCTCCCTCTCTTCCCCACGACCCCGCAGCGCTGTGGACGCCCCTCGACCCGCGGGCTGCCCGCGCCCTCTCCTTCTACGCTGCTCGCCACCGCCTCCTGTCCCCCTCAACCGCGACACCCACATCCCAGCCTCCGCTACTGGGAACGGCATCCGCCCGCGGG